AAAAAAAAATTCCAGACTCCATTCCTCTATTACAAAATTCTAGCAGACTCTGCCTGAAATACTGAAAGGGAATTGAGATTTCATATGAAAGTTAAAACAATGCTGAAGGTCATATACTCCAACCACCTCTTTAAAGATGACAGAACTAAAGTCCACGTATGAAAATGATCTGCCCAAGAGCAGACTTCAGTAGGCTTATAGTGGTCAAGGTTTCAAAATCATCTCTATACTTATAACAGGATCTGCCAGTTCAACAGTTCAGGACCTAACACTTATAGGTATAAATATTAAAAATAAAGCCAGTGATTTATCATTAATTTTGTTAAAAAACAAATAAAAGAAAAGAAACCTTGTTTCAAAATGAGAGGCTGGGCCGTTAGCAACTTCAATATGCTTATGTAAGAGATTTGCATCATCATCTTCAGCCAGCTCTGGACCTTGGGCCAGCTTTTGCCATTCTCTCCGCCTGTCATGAGGTGCTCTTGGCACTTTTTCTGGTTCATGAGGACGATCCAGATTTTTCTGCTATAACAGATGTATTGAAACAAAGCCAAATGCTGAAGTGCTAAGTTTTTAAAAAGAGGCTATAACAATCGAAATAAAATTCTAACATCAATATTGAAAAAGACAATGTTATCATAATATAGTAAAAGAAACACAGTTCGTTTGCACATTCAGAATTAAATCTTAGCTAGTTGGCTTGTAATCTGTTTCTTGTCATGTTTCTTTAATCTCTAATGGAATTGATGCACCAGATAAAATAGTATGCCTACATAATAAAATTTGAGGTTAGAAAGTCCTTTTAGATGAAAAATAATTCGCCAACTTTGCTACCATCTCTATTAGTTTTTGCTATAATGAGTGAAATTTTAACATTTATGGCACTATCTCTAACCACACCTGAAAATTTACTAAGGTTATATTATCTGGGAATTCACCAATTAGTTAACTAATATATTAGAAAAAGTCCAATTATCCAATTCACTCATTATAATTGTGTCACTCAACAGAAAACAGGGTATCTGAAAAATAAAACAAAAAGTGATTTAAATCGTGGGAGAAAGCATAGAAAGGTCTAGAGTAGGTACAAAGTCAAATGCCCAAAGGGGCCAGGCAAAGAACATACATAAATGAAGAGAGTAGAGCATAAGATGGAGAAAGCAGTGACTAGACAGACATGTCCATTTAAGACATTCCAGTTCGAAAAATTTAAGACCACTGTGGTTGACAAGCAAAACACTGCTTGCAGGTGTAATTTAGGCCGCCAGACACCAGTTTGCAAACTCTAGCTAGAACACTGGGATACTGTCCAGCTAAGAAGATAATAACAAGAAGGCATTATGGGGAAGAAGCGGGAAAAGCAGAGAGCCACAGGAGAAATAGAGGGGTGATGAAGACAGACTTTGTCTCTTTCATAATTCTGCCTAAGTTCGACACTGCTTTCTCCTTCTATATTTCTAGTTATCATTAACATGGAATAAAGTAGAACCAAGGGAATTTTATTAGCAAGCAGAAAATGATAACACAGCAGATAACAGGAATTTAGGGAGAATAACCTTTCCAAAACATTTAGGATATACTTTGTGGTTAGAAAATATTAGCTTTATCTGCTTTCCCAATACCTGTACCATATTCCCTTGTTGTTTCTTACCAGAATGCCCTTCTCTTCCCTGGTCCACTTAATTCCTATTCATTGTTCAAGATACATTTTAAGCTTTGTTGCAAGTGTTTACCAATCCTGTCCTCTGTTTAAAGCAGGTGCTATTTTGGGCTATCCACACCTTCCATGCATACCTCTGTTATGGCACTTATCACACCACATTAAAATAACCTAATTGCTCATCTGCTCAAATTAGACTGTGACCTTTGTATGAGTATAAAGAGTTCAATATTTGATTATATAGACCCAATGAAATAAAACTGTCAAAGTATAAGACTAATAAAGTTCCAAATATGCAACAAAAGACAAATACACGAAAACTAACTTCAATTTTTTGAATCTCTTGTAATACCTTCTGCTTCCTCTTTTCCTTCCTCTTATCCTCTGTATCTTGTAACATTTTTTCTTTCCATAGATCAAAGAAATATGAAGGATTGGTATAAAACTTCAAACCTTCTTTACCATCATCTCTGAAATACAAAAAAAAAAAAAACAATTAAAAAATATGTATTAGGAAGACTTAGGCGATCAAAATAGAAATAGTTTTACTGAGATGTTTTTCCTATTACATTAATAAAATGTAGCATGTGTAAAAATAGTGGCAAAATTAATTAGAATATTGCACCAATAGAACATTTCTCACAAGGCAGGCAGAATAAGGAAAATGGAAAACTAAATATTTTTCAGAGTTGGTATTAATTTAAAGTACAGCTGGACAATTTTCATCCCTAACTTCTGCTGAATACCTAGTTTTATAAAAGTTCTTTGAGAAATTCCAATAATTACAAATGGTTCTGCCAAAGACAAAAGCCTGAAAGGACAATAATATCATTTAGAATAGAGAAATTGTAGAGGGTTTCTGCCAATATTCTAATTTACTCATCATCTTACCAAACCTCCCAAATACCCCCTAAAAGTCATTGTTGTAGTAACAGTTGCTTATATTCAAATGACTTGCATACTGACAAATAGTTTCAAATAACTACCTGAATACCATTTTATTCAGTATATGTGCTGTGAATCTTAAATTACCTATTTAAGAAACCATGTGAAAGGACTCCAAAAAAAAGCTGAATAATTCCAGATCGTATTTTAAGTGGTAAAAAGCATTTAAAAAACACATTACATATTCACTACGTAAATTTAATGCATATAGATCAAGAGTAGATAAGCAAAAATAATATTTATTTTGTTATTGTGGTGGAATTTTGAGCTCTTTTTTTTTTTTTTTTACTTTTTATGTAATTAGAAATTAAATTAGAAAGATAATAACTCCTTGGCCATTCATGATAGTAAGTCTGCCATTAGCTTTTCTTATTAATACCTGCCAAAACAATTCCCTTGAATTAGTCTTGTCTTTTGTATGTCAGAACTTTGGGAACTCACCTAGTGAATAAGAAAATGTTTTCTAAAGGTAGTGGATAAGAAGGATTCTCTTGGTCAAAATAAAGAATGTTTGGAGACTTAGTGTTTAAAGGTAGACTGCTACCTATCTGAATTTGAAGTCTGAGATAAATAACCATTCTTTATATTTATTAGCATACTGACCTATAAGGAGTGAGTATATTGAGAGGTGGCGGCTGTTCACAAACATCATATGTCTCCTGTAACGGAATAGGCAAAGTCTTGCGATCAAAAAGCTGCTGATCTTGAATTGTAGAACTTCGGAAAGCTTTTCTCATTGTTATATCTTGCAAAGACACTAAAATAAAATTTAAAAAAATGTGTTTTGTTTATTTTACTAAGGTGATTTCACATAAAAACAAATTCATATACTCTATTTGTTTAAAACAGCCTGGATCAGGAGGTTGCAACTACCGAGGCTTATGTATCAGGAACCATATTGTAAATGCTCTATCTAATTATATCCCATATTATTTTGTGCCTAATTCTCCCAATCAGATGGGTTTCAATGCAACCTTTGATTTCTAAGGATCAGAACGGTCTAATGACACCTGAAGCTCATCTGTATTTCCCACCAATACACCTTTTTTTTTCTACTTGCCATCCCCGGTCCCCACCAACCTATATTCTCTTCTTTTTTTCTAGAACCTTTTTTCCTATCACCCTTTATTACTTTATTTAGCTTATACCAATAACTCTGAGAGAATTACTTAGTTATCGGTGGCATTCTGAGCAAAACATGCTGTTGACCTCTATGCTATATTAACTATAAATATTATACACATACTACAAAGTTAAAATTAACTTTACAGTAAAGAAAATATTTTCAAGTACTGGGCAATCTACATTATTGTCTACTTCACTTATCTTTGCTCTTGTCCCATAAGGACCTCTACTTAGCTATACGCTTTTGAAGAATAAGATTGTCTTGTACATTAGCATCTCTAGCAACCAGCATAGCCCCATCGCATATATGATATAAAATAACTTCATTTACTCATTTTCTTTTGGACTATGAAGCATGTTAACATAAAGAAAAAAAAAACTGTACCAAAATCCTACATTCTTAAGGCTTTGAGTGATTTCTTGAAATTAAAAAATTAGGTGATTTTTCTTACATATTTAATATGGCTTTAAGTATACAGATAAATGCTTTATATCACAGCAAGGTCAGTACTAAGCAATCGTAACAATTCTTTAATTATTCTTCTGCCTATAACAGTATCTCTATTATCCTTACAAGTAAAATTCATTCGACATGAACCTTTGGATTTATGGAATAAGTGAAGCAGTGAGGCAAAGGCCACACCATAGCTGTACTCCCAGTGGAAATTCCAGTGCACAATATGTAACACACATAAAAACACCAAAATAAAATTCAAAGAAATAAAGTTTTTTTTTCTCACTATCACTAAAAAGTAGTATGAGAGATATTTAGTGAGTACATACTATATGTGCTAGATGCTTTCATTTAATTTTTATTTTATTTAACCTTTATGATTCAATGAGATAGGACTTATTATTCACTTTTTAAACATAAGAAAACCAAGCTAGAAAACATTATATAACTGGCCCAAGGCAAAGTGCTTCAGAAACGGTAAAGTCAGAACAGAAAACCCAGGTCTATCTGCCTTTGAAGTTGATCCTTTTGCCACAATACCACAGGCTATTCCTCTGGTTCCCGTCAGAAGTTGCCTCTGCTTTCTATAATCAAAATGGATCAATTCTTGCCACTCTCCCACCCCACTTATTAACCTTAAGTACGTAACCAGATGGAACATAGTGTTCATTCTCCTAAAACTTTCTTAGAAAGATGTAAGACTATGTAAAGGTCTTTCTATCTTTAACTCCTCTCATTTATCATTCATCTTAGTTTTTGACAGACCACTGTGACAAAGCCCCTTCCAAGAGCCAACAATGACATCTGATATTATTTAAATAGTATTATATAATACAGTAAGTTAGCACAATATTTACAAACATAACTGAATTAAATATAATTGTATAGGTCTTTGCTTAAAACTCATTTTTACATACTTTCAAAAGTATATTGGTAGTTCTCACCATTACTTACTGTTCAATGGTAATTAAAAAACAAAAATATTGACATTACACTCTAAAATTTAATATTATATTCATAATGTTACTTTGTTTGAACTCTCACTGAGTTTAAAAATCTAGGTTAAATAACTTTGAAAATTTCTTCTATCCAACATCCTCCAAACAATTTCAAATTAAGTAGTTCAGCTTTTAGGCTCTGAATTTTTAGCCAATCATCCACATAATTTTAAAGGAGACTATAAACAATTCTGACGGTTGTCAGCACGCTAGGATTTTTTAAAAACACTTAAACACATCTTAAGTTATTTACCAGTATCTGTATTTTTGTTTTCAATTTTAATGGGAATGCTAAGAGATTTAACAGTTTTTTTAAACTAAATGTTAGTTTTTATTTCTGATACTATAAGAACAGCCTGTGTAACTCTGTATTACTAGATGGCATATATTTATAACCTAAATGTTTTAAGTTATTTAAAAAAGAAATTTTGGATGTAAATGATATATATGAAAATATGGCCATAAAATATTTTTTTACTACCAGCAATGATTTTATTTCAAGAATTTCAAGAAGTATGGTTAATGTATATGTATATGCTTCAAAGGAAACCATCAAGAAAAACCCACAAAATAGGAGAAATACTTGCAAATCATATCTGATAAGGAACTTGGATCTAGAATATATAGAATCCTTATAACTCAACAATAAAAAGAAAAATAAATCCAATTCAAAATGGTAAAAGAATATTAATTGGCATTTCTCCAAAAAAGATGCACAAACTGCTGATAAGTCACTTAAGCCCTGGTTTAAAATCTAAGCTCTACCACTTCCTGCTGGGTGACTTGTCTCAAAATGGCTTATAAGCCATGAAAAAATGCTCAAAATCATTAGTCATCAGGGAAATACAAATACATTCTACGACATGAACCAATATTGAAAACATTATGTTAAGTGAAAGAAGCCAGTCACAAAAGAGCACATATTATATGACTCCACTCATATGAAGTGACCAGACCAGGCTAATCCATATATGATTCCACCCATATTATATGATTCCACTCATATGAAGTGACCAGACCAGGCTAATCCATAGAAACAGAAAGTAGATTAGTGAATGCCAAAAGCAGGGGGAAGGGGAGATGGACAGTGACTGCTAATAGGTTTCTTTCGGGAGTGATGAAATGTTCTAAAATTGCTGGTGCTGAGAGTTGGATAACTCTGTGAATATGCCAAAATCCAAGGAATTGTACAATTTAACTTTGGATGGGCTAAATGTAGGGTGTATGAAATGTATCTCAATAAAACTGGTTTTTTGTTTTTTAAAAAGGACTGTTTAGGTTTTATTCACAACCAAATCTATGAGTTTATATCTTTGGAAGCAGCAGAAACTTAGCATAGTAAGTATCTGCTTCTTATTTGGGCATTAAATGCGGTTATGTCAAAAAAAAGTTTGTTCAATCACTAAGACAGCTATCATTACGTTCTTTTTGCTTTTTTTCAGTGATATATTTTAATATACTTATTGTTCAAGTTTTGATCTATTAAAGCATTTATATTAAAAATAGTTTTTGAAGAGTTATGAGAGTCACATTCACTAATTCTCTAGGATAAATGAAAATTAAATTCTTAATAAGTTCCATTTCTTTTTGATTTAAAAAAAAAAAAAACAGAAAGGGATTTGAAAAACATCAGCGTTCAATGCATTCTATCAAGGCATGAAATGTTTCACCACTGAAATTTCTACCATTATTTCAGCCTGTAATGTGGGGTTTTTTTTAACCTGATATCCCTGGTTTAATACTCAATATAGAACACTTTTGTCCTATATATGGGCAACTTGGATTTTTCTGAAATGCTCATTTAAAGTGGGAAATAATATTCAAATAACTAAATCAGATTTTAGCAATTTAACATTTTGCACACACAAAAACCTACTAAAAAGAAAAATTACATTCCTACAGAATCAATTTCAATTACTAAGAATTTCAAGTAATTTTCAAATAATTTTTATTTCTAAGACAAAAGTATACAAATAAACTGTAAAGGAGAAAAGAGAAAGAGAATAGAGGAAAAGTCTGGCTAAAATTTTTTTCATGTCAAAAACTTAATAGTCTTTTAGTACAAAAAAAGAAGAGGTCAAAAAGTAAAAATGAGTAAAGTCAGGAGAGTCATTCTGATGGCATTTATAGCTAATTCATTGATTTATTACAACATGTACACCAAAGGGCATGAGTAGAAGAGACCTGTAATAAATCTGCATTTACTACTGTTTTTAAATATTTCACTCATCTCACCTAACCTAAAATAAATATGTGAAAGAAAATATAATATGAATAAACTTACATTCTTCTTCTTTAGGGTCAAGCTGTGTAACACTAACTGATAAACGGTCCACTCGTTCTTGTAATGAGTTCACTCTGAAGGAAAAACTATGTGCTTCATTGAATAATTCTCCAAATATATCTTCAGCATATTTACCTAAGCAAAAATGAAGCATATATCATAAAATTTAATGTGATTTGAGATAAATAACGATTTAACATTTAAAAGTGCTGTCCTGATAAATTTGGCATTTTTTGAAACTAGTTTAAATTTTAAACTATAGCCTAAAGTAACTCAATTGTGACAGTCAGAGAACAACACAAGCCCTGGGAAATCTGCCTTTAAATACTAGCTCTATCACTTCCTGCTAGTAACTTGTGTCTAAAATGGAAGTACTCTATCTGCTTTACCCACATCTATATACCTGTTGAGGACTAGAGAAGATTAAGATATGAAAGTACATACAAATATTTTATCTTGTAATCCCAAATCAGCATTCATAAATAAACTCTGCGCTAGAACTGAATTTCAGGCCAAGTGGCAGAATCCAAGATTCTTTACAAGCCTAGTAGATGACCTGTCTTATGTATACCCAAAACAGATTCTGAAAATTTATATTTTACATTCTCTCTTATTCTAGTTTTTTTAAAAAACATCATAAATCTAAAATTATTATATTTCTCTAGTCGTGTAAATTTCCATTACTGAAAAGAATAAACCAAAATAATCCTACTCTAAAAGAAGTTTTAGAAGACCTACAATGAAAAATATTCAAGTGTATTTAGAATATATAAACTAATGTATACTTACAACATAAAAATAAGTCTATTACTATCTATACCTTTGAATTAAAAAAAAAAAGGTCAATGGCCTTCCTAGATCAAGACATTTTAGTCCCAAGTATACTGACTAGGTTAAATCTAGCTCAGTAGTAAGCACTATCAAGATAGTTCCTATGACAGACAAGTACTAAATACTTATTAAATGAATTAATTAATCTCACTAGTTTACATATGAATACTGCGTTTATTTTCAAAGCATTTCAATATATTATCAGTTAAACCAACAAACATTTACTGAGGGCTTGTCCAATGCCAGGTACATGTATGACCTACTGAATACACTAAAAAGTAAAACATAAAATTCTTGCCCTAGGTGATTATATAATTTTTAAGGAAAAAAAAGTCAGAACTTAAGAGAAAAAGGATAGTTTGTATATATTTATTCATTCATATATATTCTTTAAACCAAACTAACTGAAAATATCTTATGTGCCAGACACTGTACCAGAGCTTGGCAATATAAAATGATTAGAAGAAAGTCTCTGGCATTGATGAGTTTTGAGCAGACATTTAAACACATGAAAAGCAATTTATAAAACTAAATCTTTCCTCCATTTGCTTTGAGACCTTGGTATCAATTTCTTCACCTATAAAATAGGGATAAAAATATCTGCTTTAAGAAGTTATAAGAAAAAGAGACAGTATGAACAAAGGGCCTGGCAGAGTACCTGATCCAGGGCAGAAGCTCAACATGGGCTCTCACTGTAATAAGAGCCACGTAGCATACACAGAAAGAAGCACCTAACTTTTGGATATAAGCTGTTCAAGACACTTCTAGAGACAGAGTTTCTCTGACAGATAAGGGAAACATCCCAAGTGGAAGAAAAGGCCAGTATAAAGTTATTCATTTATTCAATAATGTTAGGGATAGAAATGCTAGGGATACACAGATGGAAGAGACAATTTCATTCTAAAAGAGCTCAGTTTAATACAGGGATCCTTACCACCTGTATATTACCTGAAATTATATGCACATTTTAAAATGTATCTGCATTTTTCTGGAAAGACAGCCAATAGTTCTTTAACAGATTTTTTGTAAGGTGTCTATGCTCCCCTCGCCACAAGTTTAAGTGCCAAGTACTTCAGTGGATAAGATAAGCATCCCTTTTCATATCCTTTCTTATTTGCAAATCTACCTCCCCCTTCCCTCTGAGAATGGTGAAAGGAATAAAGTTTGCAATGTAAAACTGACTGTGTATGTATCTGAACTTTAACTAACCTTACATTTATTATACTACTTCTCTATTTGAGAACCTACAAGTTTTCCTTATTATCTATGATATTAAAATCTGAGTCCACTCATCTAACATTCTCTCTCCCATTTGTCCTTTTAATCCCCTTTATATATTTATTTTTGCCTCTATTTATTTGTCTAATTCTTCATGCAAGCTGAAATGGCTTCCTTCCTCATTCCTCTTCATTTTCCAAATTCTTTTTATTCTTTTAAAGGCCTAATTCAATTCACATTCCTTTCAGCAAGCCTCCTCTAATGACTTCACCTTGTGTTTCTCTCTTTTCTCAGTTCTACAATACAAAACTCATGATTTAAATTACGTGCATGTGCACACTGTTCAGAAAGCTTTCAGTATTCACCTGATCACTCTTCGACTAAACGGGGTATGGTCTTTTCAGACAAGAACCATGTAGCTCTGTCACACAGCAAAGTATTGTTATCTGTCCATTGTCTATCTATGTATCCATTAGTCTTATCAAGCCAATCTATTTATCCATCCTCCTATCCATCTATCTTGTTAGCTAGCTAGTAGCTATGTTTGAGAACAAGAAGTAGGCTCTATCAGCTCATCTTGGTAGCATGACCTGCCAATATTCAACAAGAAAAAAGCCTTAGAAGAGAGAATGGCAAAAGAACCCTCCGGTAATTAAGAGTCCCAGTGGTTGTTAAAGTAAGACAACTATAAAATGGGAAAGAAATTTTCATAAAGCAGAAGAAATTTACATAAAATTAATTCTCAGTTGTCCATAATTACATATTATAAAACAAAAATGTGTTCCATGAAGAAAAAAAGCCCTGGGATATACAGTTCTGTGAGGAAGAGGTCAGGAGGATGTTCAGCCCCACGCCATGCTGAGCCCTGCAGTTTACCTTCATTGCTGTGTCCTCCAGTACTTTTAATGCTAACAATAGTAACAAAGTGAAAATCTCAATTACCTAGAACCATTTTGGACAGCCAAGTTTTCAAAGTAATTCAGAGATTATTTAAAACATTAATTATTTTGACTATTTTTTTTGGAAACCAATATAAAATCTATTCTAAGTTTCCCTGTCTTAAGTAGAATTCAAAAATTAAACATAACCATTTCTTGAGGACTCATAGTCATGAATTGATTATGAAAATCAACTAGTGCCTTAGGCCAGAAAAAAGCTTTGAAATGTATAAGAATATGAGCTTTTAAATTAAATGGCCTCTTTCCAGTTTTTATGTTGATTCTTCCCTCATACAACTTTGTCATTTGCTGTAAACCACCTCTTTGGGCTGGCTTCTGTTAAGAGCTACTTCTATTATCTCCCCCAGATCTCCCCTTTAATGCTCTGAAGCATAAATATTTGGAAATCAGATCATCAAATCTGTATAAACTATCCAAGTAAAAGTAAATAGGTTCTGAGAGAGGAATCAATTAGTTATCTTATGTGCTCAGTCTTTAGTGCATGGGGTTGTCTGTTCTGGCTATCTAGAGACCTTTTGAATTTAATTCCAGGTTCTCCACTGTCAAGTGGGAAAGCTGCCACAGAACTTAATTCCAAAGTGGTAAACTACTGTTACGCCTTGCTTCAATATTTCACAGGTTTTCTCTTTGTTTCTGAATCTCTAAGAACTGCTTACAAAATGCCTACAGAGTCTCTGATTCCAAATCAAGTACTCAAAACCTAATTTAGTTATATTTTTACAATGTATTTCTATTTTCAGAGTTTGGCTACAACATGACCATGTGCTTGCTGACTGGTGTTCCTTATATGGACTATACCAGACCTGAAAACTCATTTTCACCTTTAAGTTCTGTAAGTCCTGCAAATTAACACCCTTAATCATTAATATTAGTTCTCAATTCTATATTGGGTATATACCTAAAACGAGATGTCAGTATTAAACCCAAAATTCATTAATTTTAAAACATCTTAACCAAATTAATTAATGTCATTTCTATGCTAACACATGTATTTTAATATTAACATGCTGATGTACTCGGGTATATGTATTACATATAAATTCTATATACAGTCATGTTATGTTACAGGGAATTAGGGCTAGACAACACACACAAAAATGTTAGCATATGTCTTTAAACAATATAGTTAATCATAGGTTAATACAATATCTAAGACTCTTCTTTTGACATGTCTATATTCTATATTGACTTTCCCAAGGAAGATACAAATAAACAATATGTTAGTGACTCACTGCCAATAACCAACCTAAAAAAATTAACCACCAAAAGGGATAAGGAATATACTTAAATTCAAATAAACTACTTTTTAATTTATTCTTAGAACTTATTTCATAGGCAATGTAGAAATTTAGTGCTCTCCCGGAGAGCATTCAAATGTGTTGCTCTAGTTACACATGTCTATGTACCAATATTCTCATTTGAAACAAATTAGATTAACAGCCTCTCTCTATCTTATGCTAAGTACTCAATTACAAAAAGAAAAGACAAAAGTTAAAAAAAAAAGAAGAGCCAATCCTGTCTTTAAGGACAATCTATGTCAGAGGATAGAGATAAGATCAATGTAAGACCATTTAGAGAATCTATCTAGGCTAAGAACACCTTGTTTTACCTTTAAAATGAATTATAAATGTCTTATTAGAAAACGAATCCTTCAATTCCAAAGATAGACTAGATTTATTTTTTTAATTTTCTAATATTAAATAAATTATTTCCATTATTCTAAATTTACTTCCTTAACCTAGTAGCTCTGTTCTGTAATCTTATAACGGGAACACACTGCCTGTCTCCTTCTCCACTATGTGCCCCTTCCACTGCTTTTTATTTATTACCTGGCCAATCTGCTTGCCTTTTTTCTGTCAGAGGTCAGGTTCACTTGCTATTTTGACATCATGCTGCATCAGACTCTTGACTGATATCTTAAAGTCCTTTGGACAACTCGATTAGCTAACCTAATCCTGACTAGTGACTTCCTCGCACCTTTCGCTTTTAGATATTTGATAATATAAAAATATTTCCCTAGGCTAATAAAATGTATGTAAAGAGGAACGAATGTCCCCAAAACACTAAGAAGTAAACAGCAATAACAAGCAAGCTAAAGTATAACTCTGGCTCTTTCACAGATCAAATCTTACTTTAAAAACAATCTCTAATTATTATGTGACTCTGTTCCTCAAGATTCCATCCTTATTTCTCTTTCCCAGAGGAAATATACAGGGAAAGAAGAAATTATTCTAAAACTCATTAATTATACTTAAAATGACTACATTTTTCAAAATAATTTTGTATTCTCATCAAATATTCCCCAACCCCAATTAATCACAAGAACATCTTCTTAATACGCTATAGCATAACATTCTGGTTTGGGAGTAGTACTTTTAATTGGGATAAAAATACTTACTTAGACTACTTAGTTGTCTAATTATATTGGCCAAGGAAATGTTGGTTACACATTCCAGTTCATTCTTAACTCCTCTAGGCAGTGCGGTGTGGCACAGATGCCTAGGATCGATGTTTCTTTTCACTAATGGCATCTTGAGCTCAACCTCTGTGCCCGTTCACCTGTAAGAAATCAAACAATAAATTGACATTATTCAAATTCAACCAACAGAGAGTGAGATCTTGTCTTTCACATTTAATAATATTTGCTAGTATTAAACAATGAAAATGGAATTACCTGACTAAATGAATCAAAATTGATTTGTTAACCTTCTTTCATCTTCAATTATTAGAATGTCAACATTATGGAAAACATTGGAGGGGGGGAACCCCTTACTTTCAATGTTAGCTACTTCATGGTGATTTCACAATCACCATCACTATTAGTCTCCTAAAACCATAGTTTTACTTACTACTACTAGTAGTTTTGTTTGTAGAGAGAGTTGGTGTGAAAGGTTCTCTCTAAATAAGTGCCTAAAAGGATTAAAGAAGCTGGAAGAGTAGTATCAAGTTTACATTTCCACAAAAAAATGTATCAGGCATCCAACAGCTCAGAGATCAAATAGCCCAAGTAGCCCTACATTCTCAATCTCATAAAAACCAACCAAATCTTTATTTAATTGATCAGAGTTCAACCTTCTTTGAATTAGTCCTCACTTCCTAGGCTTTCCATATATGCAAAAATTTCAACTATCACAGTTCAGTTAGGTAACACCAGTTCCCCAACAACATGGTTCTAAATTCCTCCACCACAGTATATTAACTGTCAGCAAATGCATAAATACAAACTTTTTGCTAACATTTCAGGCCACACATTGCTATTCTAATATAAGGTGTACATCACAATCAGTGACAATTCACATCACTTCCTTTCAAAAAAGGTTAGTAATCAGTCATTCCTCATCTGGACAGTAAAGCATGTAGCTAGCTGGGTTACCTTCCTGCCTCCCAGTGATAAACCCACGTGAAATTTTACAAAACAGGCAACTAAAAGAGGGAACTGGCCAACAAAAATAAAACTGCAGCAAAGAAACAAAAAACGATAATGCTCAAGAAAAAATGATAATGAAATTCAAATTGAATGCCAGTGGTGTAACACAAGAAACAGTTGATTATGGGAATGTTGCCACTGCCACTGTTTGAGAGACTCCAGATATGCAGTCAAAGGAGTTAGTGAAGGCAAACTTATTGACATAATTGAGAAAAGTGATTGTGACAAAAAGATGTCCCAGAGGCAATGATGCCAGCAAAAATCTTCACACTAAAAGGAACTTGAAGATATTTCACCACATTCAAAGTGCAAAGAATAAAATGTTGAAAGCTGATCTAAATTTACTAGACAGGTATTAGACAATTTGCCAAGGTACAGAAAAGATGCTCACTCTGCTAACTGTCCTATTCTAAGCTATACAAGGCAAAGCACTGTTTAAACTACTCTTGATAAGTTTTTTTTACAAATAAATAAAACTTTAATTCTGTTTCTTATGTTTTATATTATACTGTTTTACTACTTTTTTCATTTTTCATTCCTCTATACATTTATAACCGACACAGCAGTTTTTAATGTCTTGACAATTTTTTTTAAAGATCATAGAACTATAATTTTTCTCATTGATTATTATGATAGTTTCTGCACAGTTTTGTTAGTTTGTATGGTCATTTTTTTGGTCCTCTGCACTTACTTACTGATAACAGTGGTTAATGAAGAAAGTAATTTATTATTTATTGATCTTTAATGACTATCAAATGAAAAGTTTTAGATAAAGTTAACTGTACTGAAATGTTATCAACATTATTTAAAAACAAACTTTTGTATGAAATTTATCTCCTCTGACCTGTTTGTTCAGCATTCTCACTACATTTTAAACCTTTTAAAAAATTGTATAATATGAAACAGAAAAAAAGTAAGCAAAGTTGTACTGTTCAATGATTTAAGCACTTATGCAACTCCACATAAATAAAACACTACATTGATCCCAGAATCCTCCTACTCTGGTCCCCACCCCAATCCCTTGCTGCTTCTTCTCCCCATATGTAACCAATATTCTGATTTGTATAATAAGCATTTCCTTGTTTTTCTTTATACTTTTAAGCAGGTACTCTAAACACTACAGTTTTTATTGCTTTTTGTACTTTATGTAAATGTACTCATATACATATCTTGCCTTTTTCAGTCAACACTGTACTTGTACCATTCATTCATGTTGTTTTGTGTAGGTTTTCTTATTGCTGTATAATATTCCACTCCATGATTACACATTTATTCACTCAAATATTCATGTGAGTTGTTTCCAGTTTGAAGCTATTGTGAATGATGTCAAACTGTTCCAAATGACTACCAATGTATGCTGCTTTCAGCTGTGTAAGAGGCTGCTGCCGCCCTACATCCTCACACTTGATATTGTCCATTTTGAATTTTAGCTATTCTTGTAAGTATTTTGTGGTAAATCATTGTAGTTTTAACTTGTTTCCCCAATTACTAATGAGGTTAAGCATCTTTTCATGTTTATTGATCTTTTGGATTTTTCTCTTTTGAGAAGTGCCTCTTCAATGCTCTTACTTTCTATATATCATGTATTGCAACAGGGCTGATTTGTAGGAACAATGGATATGTGCCATTAGAAGAATATGTATGATGGAAGTATCTTCTCTTGGGTCGCTTGCTATTTCATTCTTTTGATGTCTTTTAGTGAACACGTTTTTATACTTGATATGGTAAAATTCATCAACCTTTTCCTTTAGGCTTAATATGAAAGCATAGGTTTTGAAATACCTTTTCTACAATAAGATCTTATATATAATCTATATTATCTCTTCGGTTTGTTGTTTTGCTTTGCACTTTTAATTTCTGATGTGGAATTAATTTTTGTGAATGGTATGAGGCAGCAGTCAACTTTCTTATGTATTATTTCAGTACCATTTTTTATAAAGACCATTCTTTTACTTTTCTCTACAGTGGCACTTTGTCATAAATCACATTTATATAAATTTTAACATCCATTTTAGGGGTCTCTACAATTCCATTTGTCTGTCTACCTAGAGCTAATGATACACTATCTTAATAGAGCTTTATAGTATGTCTTGATATCTAAGAGAGCAAACCCTCCGACTTTGTTCTTCAGAAATGTCCCATTATTCTTGGTCCTTTGTATGTTAGAATCAGATTATCAAGTTGTACACATACACAGAGAAATATACTTATTGGGGATTTGATTGGAACTGCACTAAATTTATAGATCATACCAGAGAGAACTGATATCTATACAACACTGTGTCTTCCTATCCATGAACATGACATATCTCTCCAATTATTTCAGGTTTTTAAAATGTCCCTTAATAATGTTTTACAGTTTTAAGAATAGAAGTCGTATACATCCTTTGTTAGATTTATTGGCATGTATGTGATTATTTTTTGATAATGCTGGAAAGGCATATTCTTTATATTTCATTTTCTTTATTGTATACACAAAAAACAAATTGGTTTTTGAACACCAACCCTAGATCCAGAGACTCTTCTAATCTCTACTAACCTATCTATAATTTTGGATTTTTTAAAAGTATATAATCTACCATATGTGAATGATGATTATCTCTTCCTTTCTAATCTTTTTTTTTTTTGGTCACACTAGCTAGAACCTTTAATATTATGTGAAATAAGGAAATGGTAACAAGCATTCTTGTCTTTTTCCTGAACCAAAGCAAAAGCCTCAAAATTTCACAAAATGTCTGCTATAGGGTGTTTGTTGTTATTGTTGCTTTGTTTTATAGATACTTTTAATAGATTAAGTTCCTATATATTTCTAGTTTGCCAGGATATTTTTTTATATTATGAACGACGTTGATTTTATCAACAATTTTTCCTATATCTATTATGATGATCATGTAACTTACTTCTTTTATTATTAATGCAGTGAACTACATTGTTGATTTTCCTTTTAAACAACTTTGGATCGTTGGGATGAACCTAGCTCAGCTGCGATGTATGTGACAGGCAGAATAATGACCCTCAAAAGCTATCTATTTTCTGGTCCCCAGAAACTGTGTTATATTACAAGGCAAAGAGAAATTAAGATAGCAGATGTAATTAAGGTTGTAATGAGCTGACCTCAAAAGAGGGAGATTATCTTTTTTTATATATTGCTGGATTTGGTTTTGGTTTGTTACTATGTTTAGTAATTTTTGCGTTTATGCTCATAAGAGATATTGGTCCACTATCTTCCTTTCATGTAATGTCCTTGAGAGGTATTTTGTTTGCTTCGTATTAAGGTTATGCGGCCTAATAAAACAGTTGGGATATGTTCTCTCTTTCATATATGCATTATTTTTTTCTTAAATGTTTGCTATAGTTCACCTATGAAACCACTTAGCCTCAAGTTTTCTTTGTGGGAAGGTTTAAAATTATGGATTCTTTCTTTGTCATAGAACTTTTAACATTCTCTATTTCTTCTGTTAATTTTGATAAGCTGCATTTTCTAGGAATTTATCTACATCTAAAATTTCAAATTGACTTCAAAATATTCTTATAATTTTCCTATGAATATAAGATTATAAAATATTCTTTTCCATTTATTATAAAAGTTAATTTTGCATCCTCTATTTTCTTTTCCATAACACAAAGGGTTTATCAATTTTATTAGTCTTTCTAGAGAACCAATTTTTGGCTTTATTGAATTTCACTACTGTATGTTTGCTTGCCATTTCATTATTGCTGATTTCTTTCTATCTGCTTACTGTGGGTTTAAGAGGCTGCTCTTTTTAAAATTTATTGATATAGATATTAACTTATTGATATTCAGCTTCATTTCAAGTATATGGTTTTAAAGCCATAAATTTCCCTCTAAGCATACATTAACTGTATCCCTCAAAATATTTTGATATTGTTTCATTATCAGTCACAACAAAATATTTACAATTTTACATTATGACTATGATTTCTGCATTATGATTTTTGTTCTATTTTTATTTGACCAATGGATTATTTGAAGGTGTATTATTCTAAATAACAAACATATGGAGATTTCCTAATTATCTTGTTACTAATTTCTAGCTTAATGGCATTGTGGTCAAAGAATATACTCTGCATAATTTCAACCCTTTACAATGTATTTATATTTATTTTATTG